AACGATTTGACCCCAGAATTTTTGATTGTACAGCGTTGTACTTGATACTAGCGAATGCATTGACAACTTGATTGGGATATATATAATATAATATATATATATATATATATAAGTACATTATAACACTGTGGAGAGTTTCAAACCTCTATTAACCTCATTCAACAGCTAGACGATAGTATCATATGCCTGGTGATTCATAATGGGATACTCAACGATGTCTTTGAAATGATGAGAGGAGTAACACAAAACAGTCTATTATCACCCACGATGATATTCCTGATTGTGATGGACTGAGTCATAGAAAGAGTGAGAAGACTCTGTGAGATTTGGACTTCGCAGCCGAGTTGTGTCCAATGTCATACAAACTCGAAGACACACCTACAGGTGAAAGTCAAAAGATTAGCAAATAAAACAATGAAAAATAGGACTTCAAGGGAACATAGAGAAGGCAGAGAGGATGGAGATAACCAGTCAACCAACCAACCAACCAATAACAACAACAAGAACCAGTGCCAATCAGTGTCAACGAGAGAAATTTGAAGGCAGTCACTAATGCGCTCATCATAAAGAACAAAAATAGGATTTTCAACACTACTGTCAAGACAGTTCTACTTTATGGTTTAGAGAATTGGCGTACGGGCGCATTTGTCGCTAAAAGCATTTTGAACAGGTTGCCGTAAAACTGCCTTCATTGACTTCATACTGAGGATCAGATGACCATCGAAAATTGATGATTAGCAACAATGAATAAAAAATTGTCAATGAACCAATAAAGAACATTATTGCTCAAGAATCATGCTGAATGAATTCAAGATGAGTCGGACAGACGCTGACGTCACATGATAAACACCCCCCCCCTTGATTGTAACTCGACTATCGAAACGGGGAGTTATCATGGAGAAAAGATTGTTGAAGAAGAGGATATGAGAAATTAGAAAGCCAGAACAAGATGAATTGGTGGTGTATTGTTGAAGTCGTGTATCTAGAAGACAGTTAGTTCACTGAGAGAGGGCTCTTTACCCGGGCTTGGGGACGGCTAGAAAAATAGCGAGCTCTAGTTAACTAACTAGGCGAGGTGTTCGAAGTGAATACAGGATTAAGACAAGGCTAGCTGGCTGCCTGTTATCACTGATGAGATTCTCTGTTGGACTGGATTATGCATCAGACTTTACTGTGCATTTTGGGGGGGGTGGGGCGAGGAGTCAGGAATACGCTGGACGACCAATGAGAAGACTAAAAGATCTGGATTTTCACATATGGATGGTTTATGTCTAATGTCAAACAAAAACTAGAAGATTTGCAGGCAGGCAGGCGAAAACCAACAAACTGACTGACTGAAAAGGTGGTCAGCGAAGACTGCAGGACTGCAGGTAGTAATCACAGAGAAGACAGAGGTGATGAAGATCACCAACAAACCGCTACAACAGCAACAACAACAGGAACCAGCACCAATCACCACCAGTAGAAGAGATTTGACAGGGGTTACCTCCTTCAGTTATCTGAATAGGCAGCATCGTTTCAACTGCAGACACACACAGCACAAATGAAGATATCAAAGCCAGTCAGAATTAGAAAGGCACTGGGTTCGAGCCTCGGTGGGAACATCATCACTCACTGAGAAATGCAGGTACATCCAGATGACGAGTCCCAATTAGGACGAAATGCGCATCCTGGATTCCACTGCTAGCCACCATCCACCAATTGTATACAAATCAAATCCCCAGACATCGTCGAAGCATCTGCACAAGAAGCCGACATGTCAACCTGAGACCGAACACTTCGGTCCAATCAATCGACGGGAAAATCAAAAATTCAATTCAATAACCTAAAACCATTCTGGAAATCTTCTGCACTCAGCGCATAGGAAAAAAAATTCACATTTTCAACGCAAATGTCAAGTCAGAGTTTGTTCTGTACGCATCAGAAACTTGCACTGCGTGTGAGTTGCGAAAAGGATTTCCAACAGACCGTTGAACACCTTCATCAACAGCTGCCCCACATTCTCCGGCTGGCTGGCGAATCAGATATTGAAAATCAGATAGTTGGGCAGAAAGAATAAACAACAACAAGAAACTCTGGCTGGCTGGCTGGGAACAAACCAACCGAGTAGGAGACGATCGCTCAACAAATATGTAGGAGAAAATGGAGATCATTCACGCATTCATTGAGGAGGCCACCGAATGACATTGCAGTGAATGCAGGTCATCGGTCGAGTGGAATCCAAATGGAAGCGACGAGTGGGTGGGTCGTCAATGCACGAGGGTGATATGGGAGAGATCGTTTGGCGAGGAGGAGATGAGAGATTATAAACAAAGATGGACCCAGATGAAGAGGACATCAGCAGAAAACAGAACTAGGTGGAGAAGTGTTGTTTAAGCCAGCCGTATGTTCCACTCGTAGCTCAAGGGAATAATAGTAATAATAAAATAGTTTTACATTACTAAATGATCGAATTATTGACTCACTAATTAAGTAGATAGTTAAGTCACTTTTTCAAATAGTAGTAAATCCCTATCTGTAATCTGTATAAGATAGACCTACCATTCAGTCGATGACATTGAACACTCAGATGAATAGGTCATTAGATCAACGTCACAGTAGATCTCCAAAATCAGCAAAATCTTCAGGTGTCTATTTCTGATATGTATCCATATATATGGCGGTCTCTCTTTCTGTTGCTCTCTTAGTCTGTGACCATTTCACTTTGATGAACCTGTCTCCTTTAACAATGTATATTCCCCTTATAGTATATATAATATGTGTGTTTGTTTGACATTTCTGTTTGTATTTGCTAGGTATATATGGATCGATATTCCATTATAATTAGCCAATCATGTTAAGACTGCCTATTGATTTGTTCATTTGGAATATTCGCTCACACACTTGTTCGGACATTCACATATATTTTGCTCTCACACTCTTGTGTGACATTTTGATTCTCCTTGTGTTTGGAAAATAGAAGTATCATCGCAAACCTAGTGGTCTTCTGATTTCCACCTTTCTTGCGTCAGGACTATTAAATTCTCGACCAGTACATAACAATAATTTGGCGACGAGTACATAACAATTTCCTACAAGATGATATTGTGACTACCAACCGTCAAGTGTCCGTGTCTATATAATACTGTCGTGTGCGTCAATGGTTCAGCTATGGGAAACTCACCCATGCTATACTTATGATTCGTGGTTCGATCCCCGGCCAACACACTCCCGAAGCCTTGCTAAGCCGGTAGTAAATCTGGTAACCACTGCTACTGAAACTTCAAAGCTCTAGCTTGAAGGTGCCCTATGTTCCACCACTGGGAACTTAAAGGAATAGAATAGAAAATAATAACAACTATAACACTGCCGTTTGACGGTGTGTAGTGTTATGTCAACCTCCTGTTGTAGTAAACTGCTTTAAACACTATTGCATAACTCCCTCCTCCCCCCCACCGCTAGCGATTGGTTCACACTATTGATTATCTCAATCGCCACATTATGGATCATCATTGAACAAAGCTTGGAATGGCAGTCAGCTCTCCACCTCGCTCAACTTCATTGACTTTGAAAAGGCCTTCGACCGCGTGGATCGAGAGGTGATTTGGCAACTACTTCGCTACTACCAAGGGGTGCCATCGACAATTATACATCTCATCCAACAGTTAGTTATACGACAGTCCTGCATGCCACGTAATCCACAACGGGAAATTTATGGAATCCTACGAAGTAAAGACAGGAGTAAGACAAGACTGGTTGGTTGGTTGGCTGCCTACTCTCTCCAATGATTTTCCTGATTTCGGTAGATTGGATAATGCGACAGACAACAGGAACGAGGAAATAGGCATAAACTGGATCATCACAAAACCCTGAAGGATCTGGACTTCGCCAGCGATGATATATGTCTGATTTCCCACAAACTGGAAGATATGCAAGTGAAAAGCCACAAGTTGGCGATAGAAGAAGCATCTAATGTAGGCCTCCAGGTGTACATAGAGAAAACAGAGCTGATGAAGATACCTGGCCAACAGCAACAACAGACAACAATCAGTATAAATGGGAGGAACCTGTAAGAAACAACCTCCTTTACCTATCTACCTACCTGGGAAGCATCGCTTCAACTAAAGGTAGATGGAACTGACGAGGCTATCAAAGCCGGAATCAGAAAAGCAAGACAAACTTTCATTACTGTCAAGTCTACTACTCAGCATCAAAAATAAGATCCAGATTTTCAATTCCAATGCGAATTCAGTGCTTGTATACGGATCAGAGACTTGGCGCGTCATAAAGCTACAGACCTTCATTAACAATTGTCTTCGCTCAATACTGAAAATCAGATGGCTGTCAGAAAAGATCAGCAACAGGATCTCTGGCGATGAGCGAACCAACCCAGAAGGAACCGATTGTGCAACAAATAAGCAGGAAGAAATGGAGATAGGTGGATTAGCCATACTCTGAGGAAACAAACCATCAAGTGACATCACTAGAAAAGCCGTAGAGTAGAACCCGAAAGGGAGGTGGCGAGATGGTCGTCAGTGCAAGGGTGACTTGGAGACGGTCATGTGAAGAGGAGATTTAATCATGTTGGCGGACTTGGAGCGGGATGAAAACGTTAGCAGAGAACCGATCGCAATGGAGACTTGGGTGGCTGAAGCCCTGTGTTTCTGTAGAAATTAAAGGAAATAATTATAATACTTGATTATCTCAAAGCAAATCAGACTGTGTGATAGTGTGTGATAAGTATATTGTATAAACTGGAGAGTAGTAGGCGAAATATTCTTAGTTAATGACATTTGAACCAATAACTCTCTCAGAATAATAACCTGTATTACATTGCAGTTGCATCATACTCTGCTTGAAACAGAAAGTCCCGCCCTTGCAACTCCCACATTCTATGGATGCTTTCTCTCTTTGTATATATCCCCATCTAAGAATGTAGAAATATGTGTCTGCTTTTGAATTTCTTTTCCGTTTTCAAAAAACAAACGATTTCTTTACATGTTTGTTTTTCATTTTCACAGTCATTAACTCCATCATATCGATCTAAACTGGATCAATTTCGACGTATTTTTCGTGGTACTCCTGTCGACACTGATCGTTTACTTGTTGGTATGTTCTTATTTTCGACATATATTTGTGTGTTTTTTCTATAGTTTGGTTTGTAAGGGTTAGTTATATTTTTACGAGTTGATCACGGATTGATTGATATCAGTTAGAGAACCATTGAAAAACCAACACTGGAGTACTGGACAGCTGCTGTTTCATCCTAGTTTGGGAATCATTGGAAGTATGCACCCACCACAATGGGTAGGACCTTTCGGTAACAAAGCAAGCTCGTATACCATTCAGCCACTGGGACCCGATTCAGTAACCGAAAGGTCCTACCCTTGTGGTGGGTGTGTACTTCCGATGATTCCCATACTAGGATGAAACAACAGCTGTCCAGTACTCCAGTGCTGGTTTTCAATGGTTCTCTAACTGATATCAATCAATCCGTGATCAACTCGTAAAAGTTTATTTGTGTATACTTAAACGTGTAGTTGCTAATGATGACAGAAGATACAAAGAGGTATTATTCTGTTCTCACAGAATAAGTCAACGAAAGCTGTTGTCTGGTGTTGTGTGTATATATATTTGTGTTGATTAGGTGTGTTCTAGAAGCGTTAGTTAATCAATAAGATTGTAATATTATATTGAGAGATTAGGCGTATAGAGTGCTAGGTAAGTAAGGGAAGTCCATCGATGGTGTTGTGAAGCTACATCGGCTGAGATAGCTAAGGCGGCACGTATACCTCCTTATGTCCAGCCATCGCCTTCCTCGTCGATCAGTGTTAGTTTAAGGAGAATTACGCTGAAAAAGAATAATTCGAGTAGTCAAATCGAAGCTGGAATCATGCCGTAAAGTCTTCGGTAGTTGGTTTGAACCAGTCACGTGGGAAGGCATATTCTGATTGACTGCTGTCCTTGGAAGGCTAAAAATCAATGGCTGTAAGTGGTTGGTGTTATGACTCAGATGTATCCTCATGTGTTTCCATGGTAATATTCTTTCTCCCATACATTTCTACCCAATATAGTTGCTCTGAATTTTCCTTTTTTCTGCTTTTTCTTCAGCCTTATGTGATATATGAAGTGTGAACTGCCGCAATTGTGTGCAGATTTCTAGGTGTTTAAGGAGTGTTTACAAGGCAGCGTCTGAGAATCAAAAGACGTCCCGTCCAGTGGGTGCAAGTCACTGATTATCCCCATATTGAAGAAGGGAAACAAGTCTTCCTGTGATAATCACAGGGGGATTAGCTTGACTATTATGGTATCTAAAGTTCTAGGCTCAATAATAATGCATTGACTAAGCGGTGTTTGAGAGAAACAAACACGAGACAAACAGATAGTCTTTAGACCAGAAGAGAGTGTATCGATTGTATCTTCGCCCTTTGACGAATTCTGGAACACAGGCATACTTACCGATGTCCAGTAATCGTCATATTTCTTGACTTAAAGGCGACATTCGATTCCGTCGACCGAGAAGTACTATGGCCATGTTTGGCTGTGAAGGGAATGCCGAGAAAATACATTGCACTGATCAAGGCACTCACTCTACTCGGACTCATGCAGCCAGTCAGTTGAGAGCTAACGGCGCGTTGTCATCTGAAGTGGTGACAACTAGTGGTGTCCGTCAGGGATGCCCTCTGTTCTAAATCCTGTTTAATTTCATTATAGATATACTAATGGAATTAACCTTAACTGCTGACTTTAGGGACTGAGAAATTGATTTGTTAACACCACGGAATAATCCCATTGACTTAGAATATGCAGATGATAAAGTCCTGTCTCCTAGGCGAAGACGCTGACATAATGCAGTGTCGTCTGAACACTGCAATCAGCTGCAATCTGCAAATGTTTTCTATGTGGTGGTCTAATGAATTCATGGCTTCATCAGTCAATGATGTCTGTAACTGTTAGTTTGAGCCAGCCACCTATAGAAGGAGGTGTAGACTTCCGGACTGGTCGGAGTCCTCGGTATGGCAAGAACAAGTGAAGGCTGGAGACAACTAGTAATAAGGCTCAAAATCTTCGTTCTCAATGGCTGGTTGGTGCAGATGCATCCGCTCCTTGTGATTTGTCATATCCAACAAAACCAAATTGTTCTTCCATATTACTTTTCTTTTTCCATCACACTTTTGCTTATTATCTCTCTTCTGAACCTCTGTTTACTCTCTTCGCTTGCTTTGTGTGGTACATGGTACATGGAGAGGGAGTGTGCGACTTGAACTCGTAGACATCCGTACAAAGTTTTACGTTTACTAGTTTGACATACCAGCGTTTAGCTCTGTAGGTTTAAGGACCCTGTTGGCCCACCTCGCTGGCGCCATGCTGAATACCGAATAGCCAGTCGGTGAGAAAGAATTAGCAACAAGAAACTCTGGTTGGCTGGGAAAAAAACCAACCGAGTAAGAGTCGATAGCTCAACAAATATGTAGGAGAAAATGCAAATGGATCGGTCACAAGCTACTGAGGAGGCCTTCGAATGACATCACGTATAATGCAGACCATTGCTAGTATGAAATTCAGATAGGGGAAGTGATGAGTGGGTGGCATGGAGGAGATCGTGTGTGTGTGGGGAGGAGGCGATGAGAGACTGTAGGCACTCGTAGGGTCAGCCAGCTGATGAGAACAGCAGAGAATAGAAAAAAGTGGAGATTTTCCACTGAGAACTCTAGGGAGTAATAATAGTAATAATGTGCAACTCAAACTTCCTGTCGTTGTTGCATGGTTGGTGTGGTGATGGTATTTCTGGAAGATTCAACAATCCTTTAAAGTGATCACTCCAGTGGAAATAGAATAGATAATCTAGAGAGTTCATAGTTTTATTTATTGAAAAAAGAAACTTTTTCTAATCACCTTATTTGATGAAAATATGACAATTTAGCTAGCTAATAAATCTAGTAATTCTAAATAGACATGACCATATATTATTGATTAATTGATCGATCAATCAATTGATTCAATGCTTTTTCTGTCGAATGCACTCTTTTTATGTGCCTTTCAAATATATATGCCACGTATAGTTAGTGACTTATCAGTAATAATAATAATAATAATAATAATAGCAATAATAAGTAACTTGTATGAAATAAACTTTTATTGACTAACATGATTCTTTTAAACAATTCACTGTCACACACACACACACACAAACGTACACAAACAAACATACAGAAGAGTTATTTATTACAAAGGGATACTGTTTGTCTCTCTCTCTCTCTCTGTATATATATGAGTATATGGGCTGTTGTGGTAGTGGTAGCCTTTGTGTCAATAGTGGCGTGATATTTTAATATTACTATTTTTATATATGTTATATATCACAAGGTCTGTTTTCTTTTCTTTCTCTTTTCTCTCATTTTTTGTTTTATGGGTCAGCCATATTCTTTGGTTGGTTGATTGATTAAAACAAATTTGTTCAATGTTTCAATATTCATTATATATATTTTTTTGTATGATTATATTGTGTGCATATTTCACTAATTTTCTTTTTTTTTAATAATATAATCATTCATTCTTTATTTTCTGTTATTTTCTTAACTTAACTTATCCACCTTCATTGTTTCTCTTTTAGATTATTCGTGTGCATTATCTAAGAATAATAATGGTCTGTTACTTCAAGGTCGAATGTATATCACTGAGACATGGGTATGCTTTTACTCGAAAATACTCTATGAACAAAAGGTAAGCAGTAAAAGTCTATGTGAGTGTGTTCGTGTGTGTGTGTGTGTGTATGCGTGCTTGGAGTACTATCGAACGATATTTTTGTGTTGTGTTACAAGAGAGACAGTCTGTGTGTGTGTGTGTGTGTGTATGTCTGGGGTGATTGTCAAGGTGAAGCGAAATCAGTTGAAGCTGATATCAGTTAGAGAAAACCAGCAGGTAAGCAGTGACAGTTGTTACAGCTTAGTTTGTGACTAAGCCCACCACCAGGGTTTGAATCTAGGTCCTTTTAGGTGAATTCCCCTAGTTTTCCTCCAATGGTCGTCTCCTTATTGATGTCAGCTAGCTGGTAATTGGATCTCTTGAATACTAACTCTTGAAAATTGATCTGATATGCTCACTAGTGACAGAGTTTATGTAAGAAGTTACTTGGAGTTCTAGTGAGAGGGAAGTCGTTGTCCACCGGGGTCCATTCAAGTCAACTGTCGTGAATTGTTAGAAGTTGGAATTCTCAGGCTGTTGGGTGAGATCTTAGTGGCTGAATGGTCTATGAGTTTGTTTTGTGATCAGAAGGTTCTGGATTTTTGAACCGTGGTGGTTGTTTGTACCGCTGAAGAGTGCCAAACTCCGGAAGAAACAGCCGTCTAGTATATTCCAAAGTTTTTCATTAAATCTCTATCTGATGTCAGGTAGTGAGTGATTGAACCTGTAATCAATCTGATCTTTGCAAATCAACCCTTGATATCAGTTAGAGAACCATTGAAAACCAGCACTGGAGTACTGGACAGCTGTTGTTTCATCCTAGTATGGGAATCATCGGGAGTACGCACCCACCACAGGAGGGGGTTCGAACCCAGACCTTCTGGTTACAAGGCCAGCAAGCTCGTATACCATTCAGTCACTGGGACCCGATTCAATGTTATAACAATCCGCGATAAACTCGTAAACACATAAGTAACCCTTACAAACTAAACTATAGAAAATTAATCTGACGCTCGCTGGTGACTGACTTGCTAAAGGATGGAGTTTCATTGAGTTCTAGTGAGAAGTCGTGACTAGTGAGGTCCATCCAGATGTCACGTGTGAGGATGGATGTCCCACCAACGATAATGGTTGGAATCGCGCTAAATCATGAATTGGTAGAAGTTAGAATTCATGGACTAGTCATTGAATCGGGTGGGTCCCAGTGGCTGAATGGTATACGAGTTTGCTGACCTTGTAACTGGAAGGTCCTGGGTCCGAACCCCCCTGTGGTGGATGCGTACTTCCGATGATTCCCAAACTAGGTTGATGAAATAGCTGTCCATTAGCCCACTGCTGGTTTTCAATGGTTCTCTAACTGATATCAATCCGTGATCAACTCGTAAAAACAAAATAGTTTGTTCCATATTAGATAAGTTTTTTATATAATTTTGAGCATAACTTATTCCTGTTCAAAATCTCATCTAAGTACGTATTCACACGGTTGGATAACTTGGTTTGTTTTTAGCATTACCCTCTCTCTCTCGTGTTTGATGTTGATTTGTTGAACAAAGACTGGGTGATTAACCTCTACCTACCTACCTACCTACCTACCTATCTAATCATGTTACTTTCCAATGCTTAACATGGAGGGGTCACTCACTGTGTAGCTCTAGTCAAGTGTTTATGCTTAGATAATCTATTGATCCTGATCTACTAGATTGACTAGTGTTATTGATCCTACAATCATTACATTATGTCATTTGGGCGTCGGTGGCACAGCGGTAGAGTGCTTGCCGACCACGCAGAGATGATCTGGGATCGATCCCCGGTCACCGATGCACTCCCCCACTACCTCGCTCACTAAGCCAGTAATAAGACTGGTAAAGAGGGAATTTGGAGAGGGTTGGAGCATAAGGCCAGTAGCAAGCCCATCCTGTAAAAAGTAATCACCACTGCTATAGAAACTCCAAGTGGGCTCAAGCTTGAAGCCCCCCCTATGTTCCACCCGAGGAGGGGGAGGAGGAGACGTAAAGGAATAGAAAAAAATTATCTCGTCTGGTGGTAGTATTTAGGACAATAATGTTTTATTCTGTGAGTGAGCCGGTTGGCTTAAATGCTATTATGATTAATTTCATTCTAAAGGGAGACTTCGGTTTGGAATAACGCAATTCTTTAAACCTTCTTTGAAGGCGTCAATTTTCTTTTGATCGTGGATTGTTATTGCAGTTGGAGAGCCATTGAGGAAAAAAAACCATCAGGGAGTATTGAACGAACAGCTGTTTCGTTGGCATCTTCCGGGACTGATAGCCAGGATGCATTCACCGCTAGGATTCGAACCCTCTGACAAGGCGAGCTCGTAGACTATTCAACCAAAGGGACGTGATTCATTGTTCAGCCCATGAATTCTAACTTCTGCTAATTTGTGATTGTAGCGCGAGTTGTACCAGCCAATGTTATGTATATGTGGGGGCGGGTATTTGTCCTCTCTTACACGACACCGGGTGTGTACCCACCCACACTGTTCATTCATCTTCATCTTACAAACAATCGTTACTGGGCATCAGATTGTTGTTTTAATTCATATAGTCAATAACTGATGACTTGTTTTGTAAACCTTAATTCGATCAACTGAGAAATTGACCTCTTTTTTATTTTTGTTTTATTGTCGATCTCAATACGATTTTGTAATGCGATTATTATTATGATAGTTGTGTGATATGATTTGCTATCAAAATTTGACCTTAATCATGTCCCCATGGAGACCTTAATCCGGGGACACGTGTCCGAATAGCTTAATGAATAATAATTTTTGTGTCGCAACACTGGTTTCAACACTTGATCGAATGAGACTATATATATATTCATCTAACGAGTCTAAAATAGAACAGTTTCACCGCTAGACAGTATCAAAAAAACAAAAAATGAAAATAACAACAGAAATGTCAAGGTGAATTTCACCGCCCACCGATTAGGGGAATGTAGCTTTCAGGTTGACTCAAACACTTGACTTTCGATTAATTGAGCCTCAGGTTCAAAATCCCATGGTTCACTGATATAAGTATAAAAATTGAGCACTGTGGTAGTAGAGTATAACTCCATTATAGATAGATAAGATTTTATTTTGATAAATCACACACAGTGTTGTGCAGTACTATTAACTGATGACCAAGTTTCGAGCACAAAGTATTGTCCCTCATAATCATACCAACTCACTCACACAACCTTTTCCTACATTTATATACATGAGTGGAATTGATGATTAGACATTTGAATAAAAACCAATATAAAATGACAAAGTACATTCAGAAATAATAATATGAGTGTTATCAATCAAATACAATCAGATGGGAAATAAGACGAGTGTTTTTATAGTCAAAATAAATAAGTAACTTGTTAGAATGTTGTGATGTACGTGAACTGAATTGAAATAGAATTTTAAGATCATTTATTATCCTCCTCTGATTTGACTGACTGACTGACTGGTGGTAATAATATCTTCCATGCACATTTCTGGTATCTGCATTGAGTCATTTCTGTTGCATGTGTTGCGTGTAGACTCAATGAACCAGGATTCAGTAATCAATCTCTCTTTATCTCTACCTACATAGCTTACTTAGCTTACCAGAGGTATGGAAGATATTATTACCACCAGTCAGTCAAATCAGAGGAGGATAATAAATAATCTTAAATTGTGTTCTATTTCAATTCAATTCACGTACATCATACAACATTCTAACAAGTTACTTATTTATTTTGACTATAAAAACACTCGTCTTATTTCCCATCTGATTGTATTTGATTGATAACACTCATATTATTATTATTATTTCTGAATGTACATTATCCTATATTGATTTTTATTCAATCAAACGTCTAATCATCAATTTTACTCATGTATATTAATGAAGGAAGAAAGTTGTGTGAGTGAGTAACTTGATATGATTATAAATTGTGCTCGAAACTTGGTTATCATTCAATATTACTGTATAACACCACAGTATGATTTATGAAAATAAAATCTTATCTATCTATAATGGAGTTACCCATCATTCATTGTTTAGTCTTAACAAATAAGTTGTCTCATCAACCCTAATAAAAATGTGTGTTACTTGTAGTCTAAAATATGCTAACAGAGAAGTTGATGCATTCAGTGTACTATTATTATTATTATCATTATTTGCGTGGGTTTCGAGTTGAATGCTGCACGGCCTCTGTATTAGCACGTTTCCCATTTTTCTATCTATTCTTTCTATTATTTTTTTTTTGCCTGGCTGGTTCCACTAATTTTTATCGGCTTTCATTTCTCCTTCACGTAATATCCTGCATATCACCTTCGGATACGCAACTCGTTGGCGTTTCCCTTAATTCCAGGGTCTGTTACTCAATTGTCTTCCTTGGTGGATGTCTACTCCATCCATCTCCATCTCCCTCTGCATAGTTGTTAAATAAACAGATTGTTGGCTGGTTTGCTGTCGCCTAGAATCCCTTGTTACCTAACTTTTGCTAGCCGACCATGACAGTTAGGAGAGTCACCTCTTGTGCAAAAGTTATCAGTCATCATTTGGCTTTAGATTAATCTACTTTTCGTGTTGATTGACGAAATACCGACGACGATGTCTGCGGATTAACACAATGTTATAACATCATGTTAATACTCACATCTCGGATTCCATTTATTATATTATTATTATTGTATCCTTTAGTTCCTAGAGGAACATAGGGCTTCAGCTGCGCACCTCCATTGACTTCGGTTTTCTGACAACTTTTTCACCCTGTTCCAGGTCTGTCCACATGCTTTCATCTCCTCCTCGCATGACCTCCTCCAAATCACCCTTGGACGACCAACTCGCCGCCTCCCTTTCGGGTTCCACTCGAGCAGTGGCTTGTCTAGTGATGTCACTTGATGGTTTCCTCAGCGTATGGCCAATCCATCTCCATTTCTTTCTGCCTATTTGTTTCACAATCGGTTCCTGATTGGTTCGCTCCCAGAGATCCCTGTTTCTGATCTTTTCTGGCCATCTGATCTTGAGTATTGAGCGGAGACAGTTGTTAATGAAGGTTTGAAGTTTGTTTGAGATGCTCTTTATGACTCGCCAAGTCTCTGATCCGTATAGTAGCACTGACTTCACATTGGAGTTGAAAATCCGGATCTTATTTTTGATGCTGATTGCTGTTGACCTCCACACAGATTTGAAAGTAATGAAAGCTTGTCTTGCTTTTCCGATTCTGACTTTGATGTCCTCGTCAGTTCCGCCTGTAGTTGAGACGATGCTTCCCAGGTAGGTGAAGGAGGTTGTTTCTTTCAGGTTCTTCCCATTTATGCTTATTGTTGTCTGTTGTTGTTGTTGCTGTTGATGTTGGCTAGGAATCTTCATTATCTCTGTTTTATCTATGTTCACGTGAAGTCCTATCTTTGATGCTTCTTCTGCCAACTTGTTACTTTTCACTTGCATACCTTCCAGTTTATGGGAAATCAGACATATATCATCGGCGAAATCCAGATCCTCCAAGTCTTTTGTGTCAGTCCATTTTATGCCTGTTCCCTCGTCTTGGATTCCATTATTATTCATCAATAACCAGAAGGACATCGGCGAAGTGTCTGTGTGAAGAGCCGATGTGTCAACAGAGACCAAACATTTCAGCCTAGGCAAAAGAAAACATAAATCAGCCAAAATAATGTTCAGGAAGCATGCGTCAGTTTAAAATAGCTTCCAACAGTAAGACTTACCGGATGCTTGTATGCATTCAAACCATTTTCAGACGACAACCACATTCGAATAAGGCATCTAGAAGTCAAATTTCGCGAGATGATATCGTCATTTCATAGTTTCTGTACACCCGCTTAACAACTAACGTGGTTCACAATAATAATATAATAAAATAAACTGCATGACGATTACTCACTTATATAAAACAAAGCAAAAGTACACACTAATAACCAATCATATTTACATAGGTCAAGTAGATCATCATAGTAGACGAAGGTTGGAGTCGGTTGTGCTGTTATTGTACGCATAGTTTAGGATGCATGTAACCAATCCATAGTGCTTCTATCACCTTCAATAACTAACCTTGAATTAGAGTTATGCGATGAAATAATTGTGCAACAGTCATTAATATTGATTTCGTGACCTGACATTAATAAGTGTTTTGCAATGGATGATGCTGGATTTCTGTTAAGATTAATCGCGTTGGGATTTTCGATATGATTTAGTAGCTATTTTGGAACATGTTCTTTTCGACGACCATATTGGAACATTCTGTTGGTTCTACCTATATAGGTGTCACCGCAGCTGCAGGTGAACTTGTAGATACAGTTTGAAGTAGAGTCCACAGAATTTCGTCCTTTAATCGTAGCTACGTAGGTAGGGATCGAAATTATTCGACATGTGAGGGATGCGGCGTAGAATGTTCCTTTGATGGCTGACCGAAGTGTCTTTGGGCTAACTGTCAACTGCATAATTTGGTCACCGTTGAATGGTAGGTTGTTAATAAAGATAGCTTTTTAGGTACAGAAACTGTCTTTTCTAGATGTGATCTATCCTTACTGTGACAAGTGATGAAGTTTTCTGGATAACCATTAGCTAATAAAACTGAATGTATATGTCCAAACTCATCCATCACTGTATCACTCGTGCATACTTTTCAGGCTATTGAGAACAAACATTTCACCACTATGGAACGTTTATACTAGATAGGAAAAAAATCTGCTGAAATGAAGATATTGTCCATTCCATGTGTGTTTATGAAAAGTAGATCGCTGAATCGTTCCATCATCTCTCCTAGTCATAGTAATATCCAGGAAACCGAGTTTGTTATTCGATTCGAGTTCGGAAGTCACACTCGGATATTTGGATGAATATGATTAAAATAGGGCAATAAAGTTTTCAATAGATTTACTATTATTACAAATAATGAGAGTATCATCTACATAACGTTTATATAGCATGAATTCTCCAAGCATACCTTACATTTGTTTCTCTAATTTCGACATGAATATATCTGCTAACAGGGGCCCCAGAGGGCTCCCCATCGCAACACCATCGATTTGTTTGTATGCCTTTTCTTGGAAGGTGAATCTGATATTTTCTGTACACATTAAGATGATGTCTTTGATGTAAGTGACAGGAATAGGTAAGTTTATCCAATTGCTTGTGATGTAATCACAAAAGAAATCAACAGTTTCATGAAGAGGAACATTGGTGAATAAAGATTCTGTGTTGTCGATTGAACACATAACCTTTTCCTTAATGTTCAAGGTGTCTAGCATATCGGTTTGATCATCAAATGAACTTTTAACAGAATGGTTTGATAATGAGTCTCTTACAGGCGTAAGGACCTCTGTAATCCATCCTTTCTGCGATTTTATGGTATGCAGAATTCGACATGTCTAAGATAGGTCTCAGTGGGTTACC